CTCGGGTGTGGTATGTGGCCTCTTTGGTCCACATGCCCGCCTGGGTGGCAAAGGAGCTCTCTTCCTTAGTCTTCTCTTTTTTCTGGTCCGGCAAGCGGGAGCTCGTCTCTCGCTCTGTTGTCTGTCAGCCCTCTCTTTTTGGTGGATTCTCAGTTGTTAGTGTGCAGTTCAAGGTGTGGGCCCTTCTCGGCCAGTGGGTGAGGAGGTTTGCCTCCTCCTCCGCTGGTTGGTCCTCATTCATGTCTTTCTGGTTTATGTCGTCTTTTGGTGTTTTGCCCTCTGTCGTTTTTTCCAGGCCATTTTCTTTTGATCCCAGGGTTTTGCCGCCTTTCTATTCCTCTCTTCTTTTGGCTTGGCGAGGCCTCAATGGTTCCTTTGCCACGGCCTGTAACTCTCTCGTCTTCGGCTCGTCCTGCCCTCTTTTCTGCTGTCCTGTGGCCGATATGTCCACAAAGAGTTGCTATTTGTACCTTCTTTCCGAGAACATGGTTCCGCCGCATTGTGTCGCTAAGTTTTCCCTGATGTTCGGTTCGCTTGATTGGCCATCCACGTGGCGCTCGCTGACCTTTTTTGACCTCGACCGTCAAGTTACCGATCTATGTTGGAAGATTGCACACGGCGTCTTATACACCGCACAGCGTCTTGTTTCTTTCGGATTGTCAGTTCCCCCCTCTTGTTTTTGTGGGTCTCCTGTTGAGTCGCTGGAACATTTGTTCTTTTACTGTCCCCTTGCTCAGAGTGTTCTCTCCTGGCTCCAGTCACTGTTGTTCAGTTTTTCCTTCATGTGTCCTGCTCTTCTTTGCCGACATGTTCTCTTCGGCTTCAGCTCTGATGAGCTGGTTGTCACCCCCCGGGTCTTTGTGTATTTGTTGAACCTCTGTAAATATTTCATCTGGCATTCCCGGAATGACTTCCGTTTCCGTGCTGTTCGTCCTGGCGCTGCTGCGGTGATCGCTAGGGTAAAATCTCGTTTGAGATTCCATCTGCCCATCTTTTTTAAGCGATTTCAGTCTGCTCGCCGTCGTCGCTTCTTCCACCGTCAGTGGGGCGCCCGTGGTGTCGTCGCCACTGTCTCTGATGGTCATCTTTCCCTTGTCCTTTAACCGTTTCCCCGCGCGCTGCATGGCCCTTGTCTGGGCATTGTGTTTTGTGTTGCAGGGCCCTAATCTGGGCTTTCTTGTTTGTTCTGTGCTGGTTTTGTGCTGCATGGCCCTAATCTGGGCATCGTGTTCGTTTCTGTTCTTGTTCTGTGCCCTCTTGTGCTGGGTCTCCTTCATTGGTGTACTGCACGGAGGTTTTTTGTGATGCATGGCCCTAATCTGGGCGGTCTGTGTTGTTACCGTTAGTAGTGTGTGTTTGCTCTGTGTCTCTGTGAGGGAGTGTGTTCAATTTTTGGAGTGTGTGTGTTAATTTTGGCAAGGTGGGGTTCGATTCCCCAACGAAGTTGGTGTCTGGTGGCCCTCGGTTTATGGTGGACCCAACCCTAAGGCATTGCACTTTCAGCCATGGGTTGGATTAGGTCTGTAGATCGGCAGGCATTGCACCGCCCTCACGGGAGCCTGGCCGTTCACCTTAAATACAAAAAAAACATTCATATCATTTAACCTCTGTAAGTTATGTCACGTGACCAAGCATGTGATCTCCGAGGGGCCTAAATTAATCCGCCCACCTGCCTGAAAATCAAATCATACTTCTGTCATCTTTCCAAATCTTGTTTGTACACTACCTTTTACCTCAGAGCGATACATAATGCAATTAAAAAACACGATATTTTAACTCATTTCGGTCTGTTGAGTTCTAAGGTGACTTGTCTCCAACGTTAATCAACAGAAAGCTAACCTTTAAACCATGGACACTTCATATGTCAACTATTTTAATTCGTCTTCAAAGCTACTCTCTTTCTTTTGAGTCACTGACGCAGGTCAGATCATTGAGTTCACTACATGCTTTCTTGTCTGCTATGCAGAAGTACCCTTCTGTGTAAGAAAGTCCTGTGTTGTTACAGGAACAGTTTGGCTGGCAGGCAGACGTCTTGCACGTACAGGTCGTCAGCTCGAGAAGGCTTACTGCTGCCAGTCATTTTTGATTGGCAGTGGTACAAGAAGCTCCCCATCCTTCATCCATCTATGACCCTCCGGTGAATTAAGATCCTGCATAGCTTCAGGAGCATAACTCCACGCAAATGCTTGGTAGTTTGATTGCCTTAGATGTTGAAGTAGACTATCTGTTATTGGTGGAAGCATTTCGTTTTTCTGCTCATTCTGGCAGAACATGAGATAAGACAATTTATTATCTGCAATGCTTGTCTTTCCAGTGGTCATGTATAAGCTGCAAACATAGGCTTCTCTATTGTCAAGTCTGCAGAGAGCAACCAAAAGGAAATTGCACAGGTTTACCAAGTGTCAAAGATTTAGCATTTACGTTTAAAAATTGATCTAAAGTGAAAGTTCAAACGTACAGCAAGCGTAACAGATGTGGATTGCTACAAATTCAAATTGCCGGCAACGAAACTAAAAATCGAATGGAAGAAATATCACATGCTTAACTATATAATTCAAGCCATTCCTTATTTTTTTAATTGGCAATATACTTTCACCGTTATCTTGATTTGTACTTCGAGGCCAGTGGATGTTCCCCTTCGCCGATGCTCACCTCCTTAATGAAGTCGCTCAGTATTGGTTAAAGACCAGTTGTTAAACAAGAGCGGGGCACTGAAGATGTTGAAATATTTTTCGGAGAGTTCACCAAGGGTATCTGTTCCAGAAAATTTTGTCATTTGTAGGACTGAACTACGTAAACATCTTTCTCTAGAGGAGAGCATAGCGTGCTCTAAACACCTTTTCTAAGACTTCGGTTAGTGAGTGAATATGGGATTGAAGACAGTTTGAAAGTTAGCACATCTTTCAGGCAGATTGGATGCGATGAGGAGCCTGACAAAAAAGTCCATGTCGGGGTTAACAGTTATTAGCTTATTGATGGATTTGACTCCAACATTCTTATTTACGCTGCCGAATCTTTGGATCTTGATGTTTGCAATCGGTTCCCAGAAACCCTAGCAGGGAGAGAAAATATAAGGCCGTGTCGTATGAAAAGCTTAAATGGCTAAGTGAAAAACTGTAGGTTTGAGTCAATGAATTTACATTGCCGGGTGTAAATTGATGACTTCTGCGTGAATAATTGTTTCGTTTCTTCAGTTTGTAAACCATATGATAAACAAGTTAATGACTTCAACTGTTTGGTCGTTATGCGAAAATCTCAAACCGCGGCCTAGTGGTATTGACCTTGTTATTGCACCAAGCCTTAGTTTGAGATTTTTCTATTAAGACTTAACTCTCGGTCGTTAAGTAGTTAATATTTAACATTATAAGGTGAGGTGAATATTGTTGAACATTCCCCCAAGACAAAGTGAATAGGATCATTCAACTGTCTTTACTGAGCCTGAGGCAAATAGTTGTTTTAATACAATTGCTAAAGCGCTTTCGAATTCGGTTGGACATTCGTTTTAAATTTAAAATTGTAAATTCTCTAAACAATTATTTGGATTACTTGTTCTAAGATTAGCAGACATTTTTATTTACATTTATAGTTTGAATTATTGTGTCAATGGTGATGTATTTTTGTGACAAATTAAATAAATGATTACATTGTAAGTAAATTTCGTAATGAAGGAATTCCGAAAATGCCCTCTGCAAAGTAGACGCGCACTTGACAGACATTAAGAGTGAGACACAAGGGGTGATGATTATAAACTAAATATTTGGTTGAAAGTTCTGTTTCCTCAAGTTTCTGTCCTTTATCTCTCACTTTTCCATTAGTTTCGGTATCCTATCAGTTACTTAAACATAATGCAAGGACTCCAAAACGTGCGTCAATGAAAGCAAAAGAGCTTCTTACGGAATTTGAATTGTTTTCAAGTTTTGAAGAATTTGCATGTGGTTGAAAACAGAAACTAAAAAAGTTTACTCTTTCTAGAAAGGAAAATTATGAGCTTTTCTTTCTTAATATTCAAGCCTAGTTTGCTTAATCCGGAAACTAGTGTGTCGTGTGCAAGATAACATCTGTTATATGTTCTGAACACTTCACCAGTGGCTGATATCATAAAGAGACACAATTTTATGTACCATCTCTATGCTGATGACACTCAGCTTTATGTGTCATTTAAATTAGAAAGTGATGAACTTCTCTCCTTAGTAAAATCTAGATTTGAAGTATGTGTACAGGAAATCAACAATTGGATGATTCTTTATGGTGTTAAGCTAAATGAGGAAAAAACCGAGCTGCTTCTACTCAGTTCACGTTATCGGCCTAGTCCCTCATTGGAACTCGTTCGTGTTGGGGGTGAAACTATTCAACCGTCCTCTTCTGTTCGCAATCTGATATGGAAGACCACATTAAAAAGATATGCAAAACATGTCATTTCCATCTAACTAATATTAGTAAGATCAGAACATATTTGGATCGTGAATCTGCTGAAGCAATCGTTCATGCTTTTGTGACCACTAACTTGGACTATTGTAATGCGATTCTACATGGATTACCTAAAGTTCTCTTAAACCTACAGCTAGTTCAGAATAGGGCAGCGCGCATTGTAACATTCACAAAGAAGTATTAACATATAACTCCCATTTTAATAGATTTACATCGGCTGCCTGTTGAATACCGTATTACTTATAAAATCTTATTGTTAGTATATAAGGCTATCAATGGTTTTTCACCAAGTTATATATCCAATTTGCTCAGCTTTTATACCAGCTCCTACTCTTTGCGTTCTTGTTGGAATGAGTTACTTCAAGTCCCGAGATCTAAGCTTAAGTCTTATGGTGATCGAAGATTTTCTAATGCAGGACCTAAATTATGGAACAGCGTACCCGCATCTTAAAGAAATGCCGATTCCTTGAATTCTTTCAAAAAACACTGAAAGACATATTTAATTCGCCGAGCCTTTTTTGATTTTTAAATATATTTTTATTTAATTTCCATGCTTTTATATGTAGTTGTTAGATTTTTTAGTGTTTTTTTAAATACATTTTGTGATATTGTTAAGCGCTCAGAGCAATAAGTGATATAGACGCTATATAAATAAAGTTATTATTATTAAGTTGTTATTATTATAATTTTCCACTGTCTAAAGATTTAAAACTCTCGTTCTTGTGTAACAGTAACACTAGTGTGATATATTAACCAAGCATTCTTTAGATTTATTACCCCTCAGTAATTTAAATGATGAGAACTTTCGGCTAACGAATTTTGAAATAAGTAATGGCTCTTTAAATTCGAATCTGAGAGGCTTCTCAGTTTCAAATTTAATCCTCTGCTGTATACTTTTTATAGGAACTTTATATTACGCAATGATCTTCATCCGAACATATGATGAGAGTACAAATGCAGCGCTTTCTAAGAGCTACACAAACCCTATTGATAGGGCCAGATCGAATGTACTTAGCTATCTGAAGCTTGTTTGAGGGGTCTCAGCATTTGACTTATTTCGGGCCACAGAAACCAGATTAGTCTTCAGTACACTTCAATTTTCGCCAATTAAACTTGAAGGTCATTTTGTGGCAAGCAAATTCTGACATGAAATGAAAAGCGTTTCGCTTTCATTTAGGTTTTCTGTCAATGGTAATAAGGCCTGTTGATGCAAATAGGAAATGCTTTCAAAACACTTGTTCATAAGCAAGTAGTTACGCCTAAGTTTACTTGTTGATATTACAGATACATAGAAGAAATTTTAAAAAAATTACTTAGGGGTCGTTCAGTTATTTTATACACTGTACCTCCTAACTCCAAAACGTTTTCCCACTGGAAGAGAAAGTGTCACGTGCATACATTTGGCAAATTTTTTTCCAAGTGCCCACCTTTTTTTTTTTTTTTCTAATCTTCCTTTAAGAGAGTCTATTCGCATAGAAACCTGCCAAAGTATTTAGTTTTTGCGTAGTAATGGAGCTGTGAAAACGAAGAACGACAAAGACATTAACAATGAAGAAAAAATTAAGTAAATTATGAGCAATAATAATCATGACGAGGCAACACTTCCCTTGAGAATTATAGTTTACATGTAGACATAAGCTTTCCTGCGAACAGAACCTAAAGAAAGGTGTTCAAT